CAATTTGATTTTGATTACGCAGTTGATTATAATTACTAGAAGAATGGAGAACTGTCTTTTTACTTTTTAAATAAAATTTAGGCAATCCGACTAATTCTGCTCGGTGTCATTTCATGGCTGCCAATGAAATATAGAATTGTAAACCAATAAACTTTCTGGGTCCTTCTAGTCTGAGGTCACAGCTTTGTCTCCGAAGAATTAAATCAAATGTATTAATTTGGTGCCTTTTTTATTAAGTTGATCTACAATATCTTAAAACATATGTCATCATTTCTGTTTTTGAGTAACTATCTGGGGTAGGAAGTCATTACTGAGATACAGACTTACAGACGGAACGACGAATGGATAATAATCCTAAACTGAAGGGGTCCCTGATTCTAAAGTGTGATGCATTGACATTCGTTCGTCTATCTGTAGATCTGTTCCAGGTTTTTACATTCAATATTAAACGACTTCATTAATTACGTGAAAAATAGGGAGGAAGAAGTCCAGTAAAATCTTATCAAGGAGGAGACTTCGCCCAAATTCGGTGTTAGTTTATGGCTGCCAATGAAATATAGAATTGTAAAGCAATAAACTTTCTGGGTCCTTCTAATCTGAGGTCACAGCTTTGTCTCTGAAGAATTAAATCAAATGTATTAATTTGGTACCTTGATATAAAATTATCTTAAAACATATGCCACCATTTCTGTTTTTGATTAACTATCTGGAGTAGGAAGTCATTACTGAGATACAGACTTACAGACGGAAGGACGAATGGATAATAATCCTAAGCTGAAGGCGTCCCTGGTTCTAAATTGTGATGCATTGACGTTCGTTCGTCTATCTGTACGTCTGTTCCAGGTTTTTATATTCAACATTAGTTTACGTGAAAGATAAGGAGGAAGAAGTCCAGTAAAATCTTATCAAGAAGGAGACTTCGGCCAAATTTGTTATAACCACATATATTAGTATAATATATCTGAAATATTTATTCTGATTCACGACCATCTAGAGGTTCTATTAGGGTGATTATTTATTAGAAACAAACAGTACTTAGTCGTCCTCCGTTACGGCCATCTTCGACGACTTAATTAATAGAATAAAAGAATCAAGTAGCCGTAGATCAGACAACGAAAGCACGCCCGTCAGTAGGCATGAAAACAGTTAATTATTGATCAGCTTTTGGCAGGCTTCTCAAGAACTTCAGAAGTGCAGTTTTAGAGCTTCGCGACTATTTATTGAAAGCTAATTCGCCAGCAGAATGTGATGTGTGACTATATACGACATACAACAGGGACAGTTTTATGTGCACTCTTTGTCTGTGCACGTTTCATAAACGATAACGTCCTTAAATTGATGTTACAGAACGCTACACCGACGCAATTTTCATTTTTAAATAAGAAACAGAATCCTTATCAGACGATGTTATAACTTTTACAGAAGAAAGTAAAAATTACTTTATTAAAACAACTGGGTACAATTTTATTTTGGTTTACATTCTTCGGGAACAAACAGGGACAAAAAGATTCATTTTCTTAGCACTGCAAAAATGTCAGAAACATCACTATTCCTGTAATATTTACTTTATTGAACTGTCCAACTCTCTAAATTAGTTTATACTACGGGAATAAGTAGGTAACCAAATGAATTTTTATAATTATAGATTCTTATGGCGAAAAAGTGATGGCCTTTTTCATTTATTGTCAAGTATTTAAGGAAAGAGCAACTAACCTTTGAACTGTTTTCCCTTATCTGCCATCTGGCGAATATATCTAATAGCAGTCGTTTTAAAAAGCGCCGGAAGCTAACATGTTAAATTCAGCCTTAACCAAAATATTTTATAATTATCCCACTGTGCCTTTATACCACACAAGTTGATTATTTCGCCATTGTTGTTGTACAAATATTATAAATTATCAATATATGTACTAGGTTTTACTCGCGGTTTCGTTCGCGTTGATGTCCCAATTATGACAAAAAGATCATCGACGACCACATAAAACAAATTTTTTCTATCCCTCGGGAACAGTATTATTTTTCTGGATGAAAGTTACCCTATGTCCTTTTCTATAACCCTGACAATGTGTGTACAAAATTTCATGAAAATTGGTGGAGTAGTTCAGACGTGAAATGGTAACAAACAAACAAACTGACATTACTATTTGTAATATTAGTTAAGATTTGATACTACCCCAGTCTTATTAACTGGAACAATGTTTCGATAATGTGAATAATATTGTTACAATTAATTGTCTACTCTCTACTGTATTTGCTTTCAAAATTACTTGCAAAAATTTCCTTTTTTACTCGAATCTTTGACAATTTTATCTACATAGTATACTAAAAAAAATGTTAATCTATTATGGTTAAGCCTCCTCTGTCTCCTCTTCAATTTAATACCAAAATAGCTTTAATATTCTGCGATTCGGGGCCCTAAAAGAGATAATACCTATCGCTTCCCTTTTCATTATCTCAATTCGATCCTAAGATGTAATCGGGAAGATGGTCTCGTGCCGAAACTTTGCGGTGTTAAATATCACAGGGGCACGTGCCGAGGCTTAAAAACACGCGTCGCCGGTCGATTCAATCGAACCCTAAACAAACAGAAGTTGTTTAGCCAAGTGGTTTTTATATGTATGTATCCGTGTACATACGAGTACGTAAATACATATTACATATGCTCATCCGAAACATGCATCATGGTACTCCACGGAGTTGTAATAATAATTACTTCTGGTCATTAATCGATGTTAATGTATCAGATTATTCATTACAGAATCACTGCAAACATACACCTGTGTTTATTTAGCAGATTTGAATACAGGTAGTACGTTATGGGGTGGCATGTCGCCCCTAATAGTATTCGGGGTGACCGTGGTAGTGTGAGAACCATTTTACAAAAATTATAACTGGCGGAAATGCAAACATCAAAGGGCGACATCAATAAAACTAGAATTGTAGGTCAGATATAAGTTTTATTTGAAATTTTTCTTCCTTTACCAAAATTTTCAATCAATTTTTTTGTAATTGCTAGTAAAGTTTCTGTATCTTAATGAATGTGTTATTTTCAGCGTTAAAATACTCGTAATTAGTAACTAAATACTTTTAAACAGTTAAAAATATAAATAGTGCGGGTTTTCAACCAGACTTTACAAGGAAATGGCTAAAAATATTATTAATTTATTAAACATTTCTACGTATTATTTTGTTGTTTGTTCAAGGATAATATTGAGTTTCACGTAAAAAAGTTATTTTAGTGAGAAAAAACGTTTTTTAACTTTCATTACAGTTATATTGTTAGATTTAAATATTTGCTGTATATTGGGTTGTCTATATTATATTACAAATTTTAAATTTAAAAAGATAAATATAAATTAGCATCTCTAATTACATCTACATTGAAAAAATATGATTTATAGATGAAAGTTCATCAATCTACTATAATGAAATCGGAATTATAAGTCAATTGTAGTATTAATTTGAAATTTTCCCGGCGCCTCCACCAAAATTTTCAA